ATTTTCTTTTTATTTATTTAATCTGTTATAATTATTTTGTATTTTTGTAGTTTATTTAAATTAAAGATATTTCTACGAAAGACAGAATTCTAATTAATGATGTTAATATCCGTGTTTCAGTCTGTGCCAAAAAAAATTATTGTTTTCCAGTGTTTCACCTACCCAGAAAAAGTAAAAGGCTTGGTAGAGAAACTCCAATTAAATTAAGCACTCCAACATTGACTCTGACTGTCTAACACTGGAAATCTATTGATCATTGAAGCATTTATGCTTTGATTTAGTAAAGGCAGAAGTAATGAATAAATAAGAAGTAAAATAAAGGTCCTTTTAGTCATGAGGAAATAATTAAGAAATAAAGCTGAGAAAAATAGGTGAATGAATATATATATATATATAATATTAAAAAAATTGGTTGTTTGACTTATGAGATAAAAGAAAGAAATAAAAAAAAATGTTTTATTTAATTTTTTATTATCACAATAAACTATCACTTTATAAACATAGTTTAATTCATCTTGTTATTAAGTAATTCCTTTACATTTCATAATAAAGATGATAACATGATAAGATGAGTGTGAGTTTTAATATTTTCATCTTTTAATTTATATTTTATAGCAGTTTTTATTTCTATACTTAATGAATACCAATTTTAAGTCTCATAATTGTTCTCGTCGGATATTGGATATCCGCTTTATATTTGTTTAAAAATTAATTAAATATTTTTTGTAAAAAAATAAAAATAAATAAACTTTTGTCATAGAGTAATAATTACAAAAATTATATTAATCAAGTTTTATTTAACATAAATTTAAAATAAAATAAAAATTTCAAAATCTTAAATAAATTATAAAAGAAAGTAAATTAAAATTTTAAAATTTTAAAAGGAGGACGAGTTCGAAGACGAGTATAAAGTAGGTAAGTATATATATGTCTCATACTCAATTTAATAAGTCAGATATTAATAATACTTATCCGATTAAATTGAGTGTTCTTCATACTCATGCCCAAAAAATATAGGAGTGACATTTTTTTCCCTCGTCTTTCATTTATATCAAACATTTAGAATCTATTTAATAGGGGAAAAAGTAAGAAATAAAGTGAAGAAAGAAAAAAATTATATAAATAAATAAGATATATGGTAAAATTTTGATTGATTAAAAAAAAAGAATATAATAAAGAAGAAAAAATAATAAAATATTATTTTTTATGATAAAAAACAGTTTTTTTTTCTTTTAATCCAATAAAAAAAAAAACATTTTTTCGTAAGTTACCTATGTTTCATACAGACTAGTCTTGAATTTTTTTGTTTCGTTAAAGAAATGGAAAAATGATGTCCTTCGTAGTTGTTTGAATGCTCCCGATTTTTGAATTTAAAAGTATAAAACATACAAACAGTTAACATGCAATTAAAGGAAGAAAAAGAAGAAGTTAAAGACAACCTAATTTATGATTTTACATCAATACTTTTGAAAATTTTTACGACCAAAAAAAAAAATAACATATCACATTTTTCTATGTATATTTATTATTGTTAATTTACTTTCATAAAGTTATGGATAAATTTTGTTGACTAGTGAGAAAAATAAATACTACTTAATTGTTTACAATTAATTATTGTTTCGAGTAATTTTTTACAATTAATTTATTTTCTATAATACATTTTTTTATATAATTTAATTCTGATAAAATCATATTTTTAAATTATATAGACTAGATAATATTTTTTTATATCCCTTCAACAATGGACTCTTAGGTTGTCATCCCAACAACACATGCTTAGGACCACCACTAGTTGCATGAATTTTTAATTGATTATAATTCATGTTAAATCAAGTTAAATAGTTTGTAACAGTTTCTTAACTCCAAAATTGATATATATATATAGAGAGAGTGAGAGAGAAGTTTTAAAACAAAAACATTATATAAAAACAGATATATAATTTTAAATTGTATATTTATTATAAAATATAAATTGTCACTTTTTTCTCTCCCATAATATATCAATTGTATAGTTATAATAGATTAGTTTTGTAATTTTGGACTAAGCATATTTACATCATTGTTATTTTTTCAATTATTTTATATCTTTATAGTTAAAAATACATATAAAAACTCTGTAAATAATCGTTGATAATTTTTTATTTTTATTTTTTTAAAAGTATATATAATAAAAATTATATATTTATTACCTTTATTTTATTTATTTATTTATTTATTTATTAAATATTTGGTAGAAGTTTTTGTTTTTTTTTATTATAAATTCTGTAACATTTTTTTTATTATAAAACCAAATTTTATATATTTTCCCTCATTTTAAGGAGAGAGTTTTTCAATGTGGTGTCTATGAAAGATCACTTATACTTCTCTTAATTTTTCTCTTACCAAATACATTCAATTTAGAAATTTATAATTTTATCTTCAACAATATTAATGGTTGTGGCTTCACTTGACATAATAATAATAAGGTTTAATTGCACTTTATGCCGCATAATTTACTTTTTTTTATGAATTTTGTCTCCAAATTTTTTTTCTCGTTTATTATGCTTTTAAACTTTAAAAGCTTAGTAATTTTTGTCCTCTTGTTAAATTTCTGTCAAAATATTAATAGAGTACTAACATAACATGCATAACGTAGATAAATTTAATAATGTGACATATTTGATGGAGATTTAATGTATTTTGTGTCCCTTATTTTTTATTTTTTGGTAATTATGTCTCCAAACTTTTAGATTTTGGTGATTTGTTTCCTCCTATCGATTATCCATCCAAATATTAAAGAAAATATACTATGATAGTATTGGAGAAACATGATCGCTACTGAATTATGGAATACACACATATGATTCAACACATTTTTTAAGGATAAAATTAAGTTTATACAAACCGTACTTATTGAAAATATGGAAACGGATAATTAGGCACTTATGTTAAGTATGTTACTTTCACTCTTAGATTAATGTGAGAGACATGATATATAGATTGAAGAAAATGGTAACTAATTATTATATCAGTTATTTAGAAGTCTAGACATTGAATTGTCACAATTTAATTGCAAAATAAAATCATATAATTTGTATTATTTAAATAATCAATCTATTTATGAATTAGTGAAATAAACAACTTCAACTAAACTTTAATTTAATTAATAAAATGACACCTTAACATAAAGTCATAACTAATTGGATAAATAAAAAACTTGCTAAAAAGTTATTTGATTATACAATAACACCTTATAATAAGAAAGGTCTAAAATGAAAAATTAACAAAAGATGATAACAATACCTTTATCAATGCTTACATATAGAAATATAAATATGATATATAAAAAATTGTAAAAAGTATAAAAAATGTCACAATTATATTGGATCAAATAATCATTTTTCATATCATCAGATCAAACTTAATTTACTACATATAACCCTTTCCTGAAAATATTTCAAATATTTATCCATAGTAATTTCATTAAAGTATTTTTCTTCTATATTTAGTTACATTACAATAACACATAATAAATACTCCATTAATATTTTTATGAACAAATATTTAAAGACATAATTTATCAAAATCTAAAAGTTTAAGATTTTGTGAGAGAAAAAAAATTGAGAGCAAATATTAGCCAAAAGGAAAAAAAAAATGAGTCTCAAATTGTAATTATGCTTAATGATAATTTTAAAGGTGGTTGCTTGTCACATGTCGGCACTAGCCCTTGAGCCAAGCTCTCCTCTTTAGGCTTTTGTTTTTGGTACATTCCCTTTTTCTTAAAGTACACAGCACTACTCTTAACTTGACAACCTGATAGCCTTTACAACTCAATATCAAAATCAACAACCAAATTTTGTCAACTTTTTCTCATTGTATGAGAAGACTTTCTAGTTGCTTTTCTGCCTCTACCCTCCTTTTTCGAACACAAAATCTGCGTCTTCATCACTTGTTTCCACCCATAAACTCTTCCCAAAACACCCCCTCTAATCTAATCCTATCCACCCGCACAGTTATTTTAACAATTCCATTTTTTTAATACAAGGTTATTGTATCAGGCCCTGACACGTATGGAAAGCTAGAGCTCAAAAAACAAATGATATTTTACGAATCACATTTGCACTAGACTACAATTACCAATCACATCTCAGTCACAACAATTTTTTAAGGGCAAGTTCGGACCAATAAAACGGACAAGTTTTCTGCCATGATAGTGAAAATGTTACCAGTCCTTTCTTTGCACTTGTGTGTATCCTTTGTTTTTTCTTCTTTGCAGTGAGACTAGAGAGTATCCTAAAACTGTTTTCGGACGGACCTCAAACTACACCGCTGAATTTTCAGAGGGTAAACTAATACTGGGTGTTCACAAAGCATTAATCCTAAATTAACATCAAATTTGCGATTAGTTTAAATACTCATTCAACACTTTTTGATGATGATATATGAAAATCAATTTCACTAACTAGCAAACGTATCATTACCATTGAATTATCTTTGAAAAACAAGTAATCAACTTTCAACTTTATCATTAGGCACCGTGGCAATTCGTTTAGAATAAGGATATAGGTAGAAGTGACCACCCAAAAATAACTGACCCCTCACATTCATTGATAATTGGATGATTCAAATTGGCATTAGGTAATAGTGGTACCCTACTTATTACCATTATTCCCTACACGTCCCATC